AAGAAAGAAAGAAAGAAAGAAAGAAAGAAAGAAAGAAAGAAAGAAAGAAAGGCAGAGGTGGAGAAAGCATTCCACTTGTCCCATTATCTCAGAAAGCAGAGACAGAGCAAGAATATTTTTCTTTGTCCCCTTTATACCATTAACTGTTCATAGAAGGAGAGTACTTAAAGAGCCTCTATCTATACGCAAATATTTGGATATTCTTCCAAATGACTTTGGAGACTGTGGTTTTGAGCAGAGGAACTGGGAAAAAAAGCTTAATTGTTCTGTTGCTTTCTGCTCAATACAAACAGTGGATTCAGGTTCCTGTGCTGGGTAGAATTTGGGTCTCTTATCAAATGTGAGATGAAAAGGGCTGTACATTAGTGCTTATTATGGATAAAAGCATACATTGGAAAAGTCATGAGAATGCTTTCTTCACTAATCATAGAGGTCTCTTCAGTTCATTTCAAACTGGCAGATCCTGCTGGAAATTTCTTACCACTTTCCCCTTGCTCTGTCATCACAATGCTGAAATGTATTTGAATACTATAGATCAGCATAGCTGGCTGGAGAATTCTGGGAGTTGAAGTCCACAAGTCTTAAAGAGTCCAAGTTTGGAGTCCTCTGCTGTAGATAGTAATAATAAAGCAAGTACTGGAGCACATCACACCAGACATGTGATTGGAAGGCAAAATCGTGAAACTGCATCTCACTTACTTTGACCATGTCATGCAAAGGAATTCACTGGAGAAAGCGATTACGTTCGGAAGAGTTTGTGGTAAAAGAAAACCAGACTGCCAAAGAACATGGCAGCTGGAGACCTATCAACACTGACGACAGACAGAGCATAGAGAAAACCAAAGAAATAGTGAAAGATCAGAAGATGCAGAGAGACCTGGTCATAGAATAGCCAGGAGTTGGACACAACTGAATAGATAACATCATCATCTTCAATAAGGCAAATGTGACAGCAAATTTATATTCCTATCTCCGTTACATCCATGCTCAGAAGGCCAATCAGAAGCGGCATATTTTATACAATAAGAACTTCTGCAAGTTTAAAATATATGGAGGGTTCTATCTGAAAAAAAGTTAGCTGCCCTTACAGGCCACAATTACTAGGACCTGACGTGTATCAGAGGAACAGGAGCATGGGCACTTTGTAGAGGGCAGATAATAAGTCTGGCTCCTTATTCTGGGCTGTGTGAGTCATTAAGAGTTGGGACATCTATTTATGTGGTGCTTTGATCTTTCAGGAGAGAACTTTTTCCCTCATGCAGATGTACATAAAAGATATAAGTGATGAGTCATGATCATAGTCATCATAAATGCATTCATCATGAATCAAAAGATACAATGCTTAGTGATAGTCATAGGATACCATATGTACGTATGGGAAAAAGAAGAAAATTCTCTCTACATATCCTGTTTTTCTATTTGTGAACAGGGAATTTTTAAAAAATCATATTCTGGACTTTCCAGAGCTATGCAAGCTTTGTCAATGCTGGTAAGGAGGGAACAACGTTCTAATATTCACAGAGAGATAGACAGTCAGGCACCACAGCTCTGCTGTTGGAAAACTGATTGTTCTTCCATTAGGAAGAGCGAGGTTGATATTGAAACGAGGCAGAAGCAACCCCTGCCTTTCTTGAATCACTGCCATTTTCCATCTGTTGGGGGACAGAGTTGTAAATATTGTGAACCCCCTAAACTAATGTTCTGACCTTAGGTGCATTGGAAGAAAATTATCCTCTTACTGGTTGCAGTTCGGTTCACTAATGTACATGGAGGGATGCCAGCTTACCTGTTGCCAATCTTTGGCTGGCACAATAAACATAAGAAGATAAGCAATGATTACAGGAACAGTTCCCAATCATGGTAAGTTCCTGCAATTATTGAACTATCACTATGGGGAAAATAAAAAAAAAGAATTGCCATCCCGCATCAGTAAAATTGGCCTCCGTGAAATAAGTCATTCTCCTGCAAACATTACTGTAGAGTTTGGATTACACCTGGGATATTATGCTCATTGTATGATTTGGTGCCGAACAACTTTATTTTACTGCTAGTAAAATAAATTGAAGGTGTAATTGCCTCCACCTAAATCTAAAGAGATGAGTCTTTGGTAGCAAGAGAGTAATTTTTATAATACAATGAATCTTTGATCTATTGGTCCTCAGCTCAGCAAGCTTTGAATGCAGTGGACAAAATATGTGCATGTATGTACTGTATATGCTTTTGTACATGGGCAAAATCTCATTTGCCTTTTTATATATACATAAAGTTTCACTCAGACTTAATGGGCACTCTGCTTTAACTAATAGCAATAGCAATAGCACTTAGACTTACATACTGCTTTATAGTGATTTTACAGCCCTCTCTAAGCGGTTTTACAGAGTCAGCATAATGCCCCCAAGAATCTGAGTCCTCATTTTACCCACCTCGGAAGGATGGAAGGCTGAGTCATCCTTGAGCCTGGTTGGATTTGAACAGGTGATAGTCAGCAGAATTGGCCTGCAGTACAGCACTCTAACCACTGCACCACCAAGGCTCTTAATACCTGACAATTTCCTGTTATTATTTGTTTCTTTGCGTAGCAATATGAACAGTTGACCAAATACTTTTAAGTGTTAATTTTTTAGATGAAATTTCTAAGAAAACAGTGGTTTTCAGAGAGGGTGTTTGAGGCAAACTCACTTCAAATAGTTGGCCATTGGATTCCTGTAGGAATTAAAATGTTGTCAGCCTCTACAGATTATTCAGGAATAAATCCTGAGTCTTTAGGAGAAGCTTCTCAGAGTTGACATGGCTTAGGTCAGTTGATTATTGCAAACAAGAATGAAGTCATCTGTTGTTTATATGCATAAACTTACAGACGTGTGTGTTTGTATCACATCACACAAACAGACGGGCAAAGAAGATCTGGGAACATACATGTCATTGTCAGAGTTTACACCCTAGCCTTTTCTTCCTGTTGCTTTGAGTCAGTGGAATTCTGGTAATTCTTTTCCTAGTCTTGAAAATTGGAGGTTTCTATTCCCTTTTTATATTAATATGTCTGTCTGGCCTGAGAATCACCAATTCCTGCTTCATCAGCAATAGTCCTCATAATGAATATTATTAGACAGCCAATAGTGTAAGCTGATTGTATTGCATTTCGCTGCAGTGAATAAATGGTGCAGTATTTGTAGATTTAACCTGTTACATGTTCACTACCTATGTAGAAATGTATATACTCAAGCGTCAACCAATGTAACAGAAAAGCAGCCTCATTTCATATTTATTTCTGAGGAACTCAAAAATAGGGGCTTATGAAATTACATCTTGTAATTACATGAAATGACTATCATGTTCCAGACAAAATATTTCTACTCGTAAGAGCAGACTGTTTCTACTAGATCACATATCCAACTAACATTATTGAATTAGAGAGTGGGAGGGGGGACATTTTTTCCCTACTTCCCCCTGTGAACTATTCAAGTTCTTGTGTTTGGTATGAGAATGAAAATTGTAATGAGTTAAATGACTACAATTGACAAGGAAAGAAATGGCTTCACATCTGGCCAAAATTGGTCAAAGGACTTATCGCATACTACAGTACTTTTAGGATGTTGACTTCAATGCAGTCAAGTGGAAGATTAGTTGAGATCAGCGGTGGGATTCTACCAGTTCACACCTATTCGCTAGAACCAGTTGTTAACATTCTAAGCAGTTCGGAGAACCAGTTGTTAGAAAAAATTATTGGCCTAATCCTGTAAGGAAGGCAGGAAGGAAGTATTCTGGTGTTGCTTACAGAAACTCTCCATTAACCCTTATTACATTCTTGTCAGGACTAGTCTTCCTGTCTCAGGAACTTCTCTGGAGTATTTTTCCCCTCCTTTGCTGGTACTTTGCTTGTGTGGAGTGACCATTCAAAGTTACAATGGCACTGAAAAAAATGACTTATGACCATTTTTCACATTTACAACTGTTGCAGCATCCCCACAGTCATGAGAGGCCAGGCAAGGAGATGTGTGCCTCGATGTGAGTGATGTTGAGTTGGCCATGCCCAGCCAATAACATGACCACCAAGCCACGCCCACCCAGTCACATGACCACCAAGCCACACCCACACCTAAGCCACACCCACAGAACCGGTTGTTAAATTTTTTGAATCCCACCCCTGGTTGAGATGTATCTTATCGCTTGTTTATCATGTGGAGTAAAAACTTCAGTTTAGAATAAAAGCCCAACTGAAGCATTTAACAAATTGAGTTTGACAAATAGTCTCTGTTCATACAGATTTGCATAGCTGATGTTATGACAGCATTGATCTTTTGTCGTTTTTATTATGTGCTAGTGGTCATGTAAGGCATGTAATTTTACATCTTAAATGCATTGCTTTTGCCATGTTAATTTTTCTAGGCCAATATTTAAGTATTAAAGAGGGATTTTAGGGCATAGGCTGATAATGAATACTTCCCATATATTATTTGGTGTTACAAAACATGTGGAATGCATGTGATCCAAATTATAATTGTTGTTAGATTTTGCAAAGCCAAACAAAGCAACCCAAACAAAAAGAATGCATTGAAGTATCTTTAAAAATTAACGTTATGTACAGAATTATTATACTGCAGTGCTATGAAATCAGTAGAGAGCATTTTTGTTTTTCAGTAAATAATCACGAGCAGGATTCAAGATCCCCTCCCAAACCATCACACTTTCTCTTACTCTGACTTCCCTAACATTTATACTGTATTTAAATTTTAATAGAATTTCTCCCAGTTTGGTAGATGTAGATTTAATTCCTTGTTTTTTAATATATGAAGAAAGTACAGTTCTCTGTTCTTAACAAAAAATATGCATTAACTCTTTCTCCTCCCAGAATTTTAATTCTAGAAAGACAGTTGTTAGCAATATTTCAATGTTTGTTATGGTTCTCATACAAACTAATTAATCAGCCTATATCAGTTCATGAGATCTTTTGCAAAATAAAGCGCCTGGTTCCTTATATCTTTATATTTTGTTTGTAGGTTGTAGGAACAAGTAGAGTGAGTTAATTATCTAATGCTATGTTTTTGTATAATGTAATCATTTAGTGTTTATTTTATTGTGTGTACCTTCTACTCAGAGGGTTGGCATTATTGTTCCTAACAGTGATGGATACAAGCAGATCATGCCCTATGACCTCTACCATCCTCTTCCTCGGTATGTAAACCAAATACTCTTATTTAGCAATAAGAAAATGTCTTTTTGTATTTTACTGGCAGCCACACATTCTTGATTCCGGTGCTTTTTCTGCGTTGTTTTCTGATTTTCTTTCATTTCCTCTGAAGGAGACTAGATTGAGGAAACCTGTAAAGCTATTTTATTTGTTTGTTTAAGAAAATGTGTATGTCCCCTCCACTGACTATCAGTGACTCTGAGTGGTTTACAAAAATAAAAACCCAATATAGAAACAATTTTAAAAAATACCGCTCCCCCCGTGGCTACAATCCATCACACAAGCCACTTGATGGGCTCCCTCTCACTCTGGATTCCCTAAGCCCATTAGTAAAGCCAGTTCTTTAGGGCCTTGCGAAAGAGTGTCGAAGTGGGGGCAAATCTGATTTCCACAGGGATGATGTTCCAAAGGGAGGGAGCTACCACAGAGAAGGCCCTTCTTCTTGTTCCCAACAGATGGGTTACCTCCCAACAGATGCATACTTCCTCAGGAGAGGGGACCTTCAACATTCCCTGCCTCCCCACCCCCTCTCGAGGGTCGGTAGATGTGACTGGGAAAAGACGCCCCTTCAGATAACCTGGTCCCAAGCCATGCAGCTCATGGAAGGTGACAACCAGCACCTTGAATTGTATGTGGAAGCACATTGGCAGCTAATGCAGCTCCTGCAGGAGAGATTACCCCTCTACACATCTGGGTCTGCTCAAAACCATGTGGGCCGCTGCATGTTGAACCAATTTGAGCTTCCTGATGCTTTTCAAGGGCAGCCCCGTATCAATAGAGGAAAATATTTGTAGTTCAGGGTTGAAATGAGGGGTCCTTGGTGCTCTCTGAGCTTGCTTGTTTTCTTGCAGACGTTTCATTACCCAAACTAGGTAACACCACTGATGGTGTTACCTAGTTTGGGTAATGAAACGTCTGCAAGAAAACAAGCAAGCTCAGAGAGCATCAAGCAGCTCTATAAGAAAGCATTGCAATACTCAAGACAGGAAGTGACTAGGGCATGAGTCTCTCTCTCTCTCTCTCTCTCTCTCACACACACACACACACACACACACACACACACATACACACACACACATGCACACTGTACATACAGTGTTTGGAAAATCTACTGGTAATAAAGAATGATAGAAGCTTTGAAGTTTCTTTAGCGTTATATACAGTAGCATGCGACTATTAAATGGAATTCCAATTTCCTATGAAAAATTATGTAGCTTACTTCATTTATCTTTAATATGTTACAGACTCATTCTTAAGCCCAATAATTTTATCAGAAATTTGACATTTCAAAGCCAAGTCGTGGCTGATGGACCGTTGGATATGCAAGCAAGTAATTGGCCAGAGCTTTGGTGCTTCTACTAGGGAAATACCACTATAGTCTAAAGCAGGGGTCTCCAACCTTGGCAATGTTAAGACTTGTGGACTTCAATTCCCAGACTTCTGTCCACAAAGTTGCCAAGTGGGAGACCCCTGTACTCAAGTACCTATTCCAGGGCTGTCAAACTGGCTGAGGAATTCTAAGAGTTGAAGTCCACAAGTCTTAATGTTGCCAAGGTTGGAGACCCCAGGTCTAAAGTACTTGCAGTTACGCAGACCAGATATGGTTGCCTTTCCTCTGAACTGTTATGTTGCTTTGAAGGTGGGAAAGCACCCCGTGGACTGCCTGCTCTTCTTCCTGCGGAGGAGGCATTCAAAGCCGCACAGTCTCTTGCGTGGAAGAAGACATCCAGGGATTGGTCAGCTCTGTGGAGGAGTGGAAGTGCATGTACACTCCCAGGATGCCCATTGTTCAGCCTTGCAATATTTTTGATTGTCCTAAGTGGCTTGCTCAAGAGTGGTCTCCGGTAATTATGTTCTTTTCACTATTGAACTGTATATTTACAGTCATTGAAATAAAGTCATTGAAATGTCTGCATTATGAAAACCCAATTCTTTCAACAGTGGTAACACATATATCCCGGTAAGTACAGGAGAAAAAGTTGCTAGTTGAATTAAGGACTACGCAGGGCAATTTTGTAGACCTGCTCAGGCCTTTGAATCACTGAATGATGACACCGATTCTTTGTAGAGGGGATACTGAGGCAAAACATCATGCAGTAGGTTGTTTGGCTACTGTTGGAGGAGAAATGAAGATATAATGGAGCGCAGAGATAAAGAACACAATGCCAAACATGAATGTTGGTATTGAAAAAGATGGGGGCTATGAGATCAAGCAGTAGCTAGGATTCTAGATCTTGATTTTGTGTAGTTGTCTCAACTGTGAAGTCAGTGGAGACTACAATCAAAGGGAGGGCACTTCACTGTATTGTCAGGGCCTTGGCTTCCCTCTCAAGGCTGAGCAAGGTTGGGAAGATAAAAACCAAAGGAAAAATAAGAAACACTGGATACTATTTAGAAATGCATTCAAGAGGGAAATGTAAGATTGTAATCTTTAAAAGTAATGAAAAAAATAAAACTAAAATGACGACATTATAAATCATGAAAGTTCACTGATTAAATGATTTTAACATTTATAATGTGCTCTTTGTTCAGAAACTAGAGATACTGGATAGCTGCCCAGTTATAAGATATAACGCTAAAAGACCAACTATAGTAATGAAGCCAAATAATATATTGCTTATAATGATCCCTGGTTATTTAAATTTCAAATTTTATTGATAGTAAAATGATGTGATAAAAATGTAGAGTTTTATTTTAATAATATCCTTTTACATATTTATAATTCAGGCCATCCTCTAGTTCTTTAATAAGACAAATAAATATCTTGTTTCTATTTTCATTTGGTTTTAATGTTATACCAAAGTGTGATCCTGGAACATTCTGAATAAATTATTGTTTCTCAAAACTATAGGATAAGAGAGTCAATTTATTCAGCCGCAGTGTGCAATAAATTTCAGATGGAATCCCTTAATGCAAATAACTAGAAATTTACATAACAATTAATAAATTACCAATAAGACACTTTAGTTTTTTGTTAAAGCACATACCCAACAAACCTAGAATGGGATTAAATGGAATTTAATTACCAGGAATATTTCTAATCATGATTTCTTGCAGAACTATGCATGCTTATTTGATTGATTAATTATGTGCCTACCAATGATGTCAGCTGATAACAGCCACTTAGACAGACTTTCTACAGGATGATTTATCCCCAGCTTGGTCTTTCAGAAAGATCTTCCAGTGGTGTACCCATTGCTGCTGTAATCAACTCCATCAACCATCATTGTTGGTTGAGCTCTTCTTCTCTTCTTTCTTTCTCAGGATTATGGTATTCTTAAAGGAGTTGGTTTTCTCCTAATGCATCCAAAATATAATAATTTGATCCTGGCCATTTGTGAGAACTCTGTGATTCATTCGTTTGTTTGTTTTCAGCCATGCACGATATCCTTGACTCTTCTTCAGTACCAAAGTTCAAAAGCATCAATGTTCTTTATAGCATGCTTCTTCAAAGACCAGCTTTTGCTTCTCTGGAATGTTGCACAGACAACCATTGTTCACATAATTCTGATCTTTGTAGGTAGAGGTGAATCAGGAAATCTGCATTTTTTCCCCCCAAGGCTTTCTTTGCTGCTTTACCAACTGCTAGTCTGTTGTATATTTCTTTTTATTGCTGACCCCTTTAGTCAATCCTGAAAGGTAAAGGTTGCCCACCCTTCTTCACTGTCAGTTCTAAGGTCCTAAACCATGGATCGGCAACCTTAAACACTCGAAGAGCCACAAAGATCCTAACTGGAATCTCCCCCATTCAATTCTGGAGCCGACCAGACTCTATGGCGGTTCCCCACCATAAAGTCTCCTCCTAGCATGGTGTCCTTTTTCCTCTACCTGTCCTAACCAAAAGCCCTATCAATTGTGGAGCTGTCTGGCAACAGGGAGCTACAGTAGAGGGATGAAAGAGCCATGTACAACTCCAGAGCTGCAGGTTGCTGACCCTGTCCTAAACCCTCAGTTTCAGAAAGTAAAGGGAGCTAAGATGAGAGGCCCTGCTTTTCAGTAGCAACGCCAGCTCTCTGAACAATCTCCCAATGGAGATCAGTCTGCCTCCCTCCTGGATTAACTTCAGGAAGAGGCAGAAGACTTCACTACTCCACAGAGCATTCTAGTTAGGTTTGACTTTTCTATTTTAATTGGTTAATTGCATTAGGGGGGAGTTATTTTTTTTTTAAATTGCTTCTCATTGTTATTTTGATTTTGGCCATGAATGTTTTAATTTTGTCTGCGCCATGCAAACTACTGAGAATTTATTTTGATTGCGACCAGATATAGATAAGTAAATAATGCGCTGATTTGCCTATGTGGTGAAGAGTTTTAGGTGGCTGTAGGCCAAAAAGTAAAAGATGAAACATTGGATCACTTAAGAGGAAGAGAAGACAACCAGCAGTAAATAATGACAAAATATCAGAAGAAAGGCTGCAGTAAAAAAAAGCCAAAACCCTGCCTTGTAGCATCTGAAAGGCTTTCTCCTTGGCAAAAGACGATTCTTGAATTTCTCTTGGTGCTATTCTGAAGATTACTTTATTGATGGAGTAATGAACAACAGTAGTGCATTATGTGCTATCTTTCCATCAATCTGAATCCTCCTTGTCTACTACCCTTCCCAATCTGAAAAAGGCCAGCACAAGGAATTGCCTCACAATGTCTTCCTTTGGATTTAATGGGAGGTTGGGAAGTTAGATAGAGTGTAGACTCGTGGAAACACATCGGTTCAGAGAAAGCAGAACATTCGTAGCTAATTAATGGCCCTCTTGTGATGAAATAAATGTACAAACACCACACACCACCCATGTAACTTTCACTAAAGTGCTTTCTCAAGAGAAAGCTATTGGAAAAGCAAATTTTCTTTATTTCAACTGAATGATAATTATTTCCCACAGTATTCATACTAAACAAGGTTATATGGGATTGGCAGTTGGTATCAAAAGCCAACTATATACAAACCAAACATTTGGACAGTCCATGATACACCATTCGGGTTTTGTTTCTCTTCCACATGGCCAGTCAAGGGGTGGAGCGGCAAATGTATTCATGCTTATTAATGGAAGTAATTGATTATGGTTTTCCTTTCAGTGCACAGTGACATGCGGCCAGGGTTTGAGGTATCGAGTCGTTCTGTGCATTGATCACCGAGGAATGCATACTGGCGGCTGCAGTCCTAAAACAAAACCGCACATCAAGGAGGAATGCATTGTCCCTACTCCATGCTACAAGCCAAAAGGTAAATTAACAAGCAGCCTAATCCTGAGAAGCAGTTATTGAAAATAAGTCCATTTTCCCTCAGCAGGAAGATGATTGCATTTTTGGGTTGTGTAGCTGAGAGCTAATGCCTGAGGCTTCATTTAAGGAGCCAACACTTGATTGTCATGATTTGACAAAAACAGATTTCCTGGCAGGAACTCTAAGCCTATGTAATCACTCTTAAGCTCTACTTGCCTGTAAAATGGTATCTTTATGGATGGAAGAAAGACAGAGGAAAAGAAAATGCTATTACCACAAAGGAAGTAAGAGGGCTAATATATTTCGGTAATAAAATTAGGGACAAATTACTCTTGAGCAGATGTGGATCCACTGATCAAGAGTTTAACTTATAATATCTCCAAAATTGAATTCAGGTTCTAGTATTTACTTCTCTCCTGAACTAGCATACAAATCTTTGGCTGAGAAGTATTGATCCGTTAGCCACTATTTTGTTCTGCAAGTAAATTGTTAATTTTTGCCAAGTGCTACTAAAGAGAAAATAGATTCCCCTGATAAATATCTTTCAGGAATTAATGGTAGCATAAATACCTCATTATAGTGCTGTGTAATGAGAAGACTACAGATTATGGTTATTTAAAGAGCAGGATCTATATCTTCACAGTCAACAATGCAGTATTTACTCCCCCCAAGGTGTTCTATTTGGCTTCTGGGTTCTGTACTGGTGATAATTCTTCATTAAGTGCACTGGTTGAATAGAATGCAAATAATATAGCCTTCTATAAATAAGTAAAATTGCCTTGAATTGTGAGGTGGGCAATAAATTTAATAACAAATAAAGTGTTAAAAAGGGACAACATAAAATGGAAAATTGTCTCCAAGACATCTTTTTTAAATATTCAGTGGGAAGGAAGTAGTGAGATAAGCTGCTTCTTGCATCCTTTATTTAACAAACAATTTAGTTTTATTTACAAATAGAAAATTGTTTGTAAATAAGGCTCGCAGTGGTACCCAACAGAGGCTTGGTCAGCCTTTTACAGGTTTTTGTTAGACACCAACTGACTGGTAAGCAGTAGATTGTATAGCACTTAAAACTCTATCTCCCAAAAGTGCTTTGGGGCACATGGGAATGCAAACATAGCATCTTTCTACCACACCTAAAGTGGCTGCATCATTTAGTGGGATCACAAGAGAGAGCAGTATAGAATATCAACCCTGGTTTATTTGTGTTATATCTGCAATGGAAATCAAGAATATCTCCCCCAGACAACATGGAGGTTTCTAGAGCTACCTCTCTGCTTCTGTTGGGAACACGTGGTAGGTTTGTTCAATTATAGATCCAATCTTCCCTAATTAACGTGTCTAATGAAGAGAAGAGAATAGGGGTGCTATGAGTACTTGAGGTGCTGTCACAGAGAAAAGGGATTTAACCTTTTCTCCAAAGCACGGGAGGGCAAGGTAAAAAGTAAAAAGGGTCGAAGTTCATTAAACAGAGATCCAACCTAGGACTAAGGAGAAATTTCCTGACTGTGAGAACAATTAATCAGTGGAATAGCTTGCCTCCGGGAGTTTTGGGTGCTCTATCACTGGAAGTTTTCAAGAAGAGACTGGAAAGCCACTTACCAAGAATCAAACAGGGTTTCCTTTTTCCTTTTCTAATGTTCAATTCTCTGTTGGGTAAGATGGGAAAGAGAGCTCATAAATAACAATAAATAGCTTGGCTACTTCCATAGTGCGAATGTAGATTTCTATAAAAGATTTATCCAGGATATAAAGTATGCAAATATATTTATTTATCACATGCTTGCTCAGTCACCTCCATTCAATCAGTAAAGCAGAGGTCTCCAAACTTGGCAACTTTAAGACTTGGACTCTTGACGAATGTAGACTTTTATGTACATGGAGAGCATTTGCACCAAGACAAATTCCTTATGTGTTCAATCACACTTGGCCAATAAAGTATTCTATTCTATTCTATTCTATTCTATTCTATTCTATTCTATTCTGTTCTGTTCTGTTCTGTTCTGTTCTGTTCTGTTCTGTTCTATTCTATTCTATTCTAGGAGTTGAAGTCCACAAGTCTTAAAGTTGCCAAGCTTGGAGACCCCTGCATTAAAGCAAGGATGGAGAAGCTTTGACTCAAGGGTCTAATTAGACCTTAAAGGCAGACTAGTCTGATCAGACAACAATTCTGTGCCTCACCCAAAGTCCCACCTCTCCTCTATCTCCATCATCTCTATTGCTCATCTGGGCCTGTGCTAACAAATGCCCTTATAACACCCTGCCTTTCTCCCCCAAAAGCAGGGGTGTCAAACTCGCTGCCGGCCCGCCGACCGCATCATGCACTGGCCACCCCCCACCCCCCCCAGTTTAGCGAAGGGGGGAAAAGTTGCGATATGTCATGTGATGACAATGTGACGCCACGAGTTTGACACCCCTGCTCAAAAGAGAAGCCTAAGCAATGCAAGAAGCATGTTGCTCCTTTATTTCCTAATAAGAATCTTGCTTTCCAGATCCAGGCCAAACCAATTTGCCTAGCATCTACCCTCCGTATTCTTCTATGTAGAGAATTTAGGAAACTGTAGCTCCCTCTGTCCTTTTATATGCACAAGCAGACTTAAATGATGTAACAGAGTACATGTTTATTTTGCTCAGTCAAGTGTGAGTCTCACCCTTCATCCAAATTCAGTGCCCTGATCCTGCACTAAAGAGAAGTATGCCTTTATGCAAGTCTGATGATTTTCACTTCAGACTGTTTTCTATCATATATTTAATGTCACTTTGAAAGACCCTTCATGGCCAGGTCCTTCATTGAGGGGGCGGCATGCAATATGATAGGAAGGAAAGTTCAGAAGTGTTTCTGGATGCGTGTCATGTTCGGCATAGTCTCTAAAGCTCAAATTCTAATATTAAAGATGCATTATTCAATGTCAATTGAATGCATTGAATTGTATTGTATTGAGCCCTGCAATAAATGTACCGAGTCCTCTAATAAATTAGTTCAGCTACCTTTAATCCTTAAGTCAATCTTGCTAGGAACGTTATTGTTTGAACAGCTTAAAAGAAGGTCCCATGAAAGATGACTTAGTAATGTCAGAGGAGAAAACAAGTGTCTAATAAAATATTTATAGCATGATATTCATATGGCTTTTACAAATAGTACAATAAGTCATTAGCCCCCTTTATTCAGATGATTTCATATTGCTTTCGAGTGTGACTATCAGTTTGCTATGGATTGATTTTCATACCTTTTTTCCTTTGACCCCGAAGGGCCAGTGCAGCTCCATAGTTTAATACAGATTCATGTTCTCATGAGAACATAACTCGGCTCCTCAGCTGAGTATTTTATCAAACGCTTTTAATGCATTTCTCTGATACCAATCTTGGAGGGGAAAGATAGAGAATGGCGCTGCTTTATCTCAAAAATGACAGTAAGACTATTTAGCTCAGTCTTTGAACCCACAATGTTGATGAACTGATAAACTCTGCCTAGAAGGGCATCACCGAATGATTTTAGTCTTCTGTTTGTTGAACCATCATTCATCACATTTACATTTTCTTCTATGTCGTAATAAGCTATCAAAGTGGAACATAGCAGAACCCTTTTTATAGACTGTAAGAATTATTAGCACTCTTTTTTTCCCCACTTTCAGCCAAGCAGTGCTGAACTACATAAGCCTACTAACTTGGAATCACTTAGTACACTTCAAAGAAAAGTACACTTGTGTGCAATACTTCCTATCATTAATAATAATCATCTTCTCTATTCTGGAAGTTTCCATAGTATTAGACAAATATGAAAGAAAAAAAAAACTCCTCATCTGTCACACTGGAAAATGTATGGGCAGTGCCAAGCTTATACATTTCTTTGACAGAACTGTGTCAAACAGAATAAACCATGATAGGAAAATACATTTTGACTCACAGGCAAACCTCCATGTTTTTTTCCTTTTGCACAATCTGGGCAGTTTTGAATTAAGCATAGTGTCCACCTTGGGCAGCAGGAAATCTACCATTAACTAAAATTTGCCAATATTTTGAAGTTGGTTTAACATCTTGACCTTTTTCTAAAATTATTAACCATGCTTTTCTGATTTAGATGAAATAGGAAACTCTTTCTCTTACAGAAGCAGAGCAAAGGGCAATATGTATAGCCAGAAGGCTCATTCATATCTCATCTTATTAAATATAGTCTGATTGTGTGAAATAACTTTTCAGGAAGCTTTGCACTGTGCAAGCATTGTCTAGATGCTCACAGATAGTTAGCAAACATGGCATAAAAGCAAGGTAATTCCTCTTTAGATAAGTTACAAAAGAGGATTATGTTTTTTTAAAGTACATTATTTTTGCATGTTTCCTATTTCCCTATGATTGTTTTTCTAGAAAAACTTCCTATTGAAGCTAAATTGCCATGGTACAAGCAAGCTCAGGAGTTGGAAGAGGGAACGGCAATTTCTGAAGAACCAACGTAAGTTTTAAAACATTATCTGCTGAAATCATTACACTTGATGATCCAAGCAGCACATTACAATTATATATGATATATGAATTACAATGTGAAACACACCTAAATCTGCTTGGAGCTAAGGTGTTCTGTCTCCCCTTCCCTTTCCCCCTAAAGGTAAGGGATTATACACACACACAAACACAGACAGGCAAGCTGGCTCGAACTCCGCAGAGCAAATCCTCTGTAACTGATAACATTCTTGGCATCCCACTACGTCCTGTCTGCCAAGTCCGAGCTGGCAGCAATTGTAAATCAAAATCTTACCCACACAGAGGGAAATGGGTCTTTTACTTCACAAAAAGCACAAGACAGTCCACAAAACAATCGTTCTTTCAACATAGTCATGAATAAAGTCTAAAGTAAGTTAAACTTTGTCCTGTGCGAAGTTTAAGGAGAAAGCACACCCACTTTTATCCCCTGTGGGGTGTGGCTCAGTGACTCAGCTCACTCTCTGACCCTCCCACGCCTCCTATGTTGCTGCTCACCTTTCTCCCTACGACGCTGCTTGGGGTCGAGCCAACACTCCTCCTCTTCACTCCCTGTCAGGGGCTGCTCCGACATGCCTTCCTCCTGATTCATCTCAGGCTGTTCCTCTCGGTTGTCTGATGGAACCTGAGGCATTACCAGGGAGGAAGGCATTACCAGGGAGGAAGGTCCTGTGGAGGAAGGCATTGCCGGTTCCTCCCACTTATCTTCCAGGTCCTCTTCCTCTGACAGCACAGGCTCGGGAATCGGGGGCCCACAACACTAAGGTGTTTGTTATGGATTTCAAAATACTGTATTACCCAATTTGTATTGCATTTACTGATGTAAATGAAGAGTTAAATCACAAGTAATATGGTATAGTTTTGTGCCTGGATAGTTAATTCATGGAAGTATCATCTTTAGGGATCTTTATTCTTGTAGCAGCTTTTTTCATTTATAATTAATGTACTTCTCCTAAATGTTGATGTCTTATTTTGATTTAGTTGCTTGAATAGTACAGTACAAATAAAGAAGAATATTTGTAGCTCAGAGTTGAAATGAGGGGTCCTTGGTGCTCTCTGAGCTTGGTTGTTTCCTTGCAGACCTTTTATTACCCAAACTAGATAACACTGATGATGTTACTTAGTTTGGGCAACGAAACGTCTGCAAGGAAACAACCAAGCTCAGAGATCACCAAGGACCCCTCAGTACAGTACAAACTTCCCATCAGCCCATCTGCTTTAAATTACATGTTAGATTAAAATCATTCAGGTAACTCAACTTGATACCATAAAAAATGTCTCTTTGTGGCCTACTGATAGCTGGTTTAGATGTTACATTTAGGCGTGAGGAATTTCATCTTCTAGCATACAGTTTAAAAAAAATTCAAGAATTGCATTGTGGCTTTCTCTGAACTCATATAGATATTTACCAGGTAGCCATCATTCTTTTATTTCCGGTATTCAGCTGAAAGTCTCAATGCTTAATTTAGCAAAATGGCACCATAGCAAGTACAAGAAGAAAAAAATTGGGAAACTGAAAATTCAAGAGCTTAATTTAGGTAAGTGGGAATCAGGTCAGACAGAACCATTGTGTAAACATGAAGGGAATGTTTCCATCTCTCAAGGCCAAAAAAAGAACAACCCAAAGTCTACTGACTCCAAAAGGAGAAATGGGGGGAAAAAGTCTAGGCTAGAGTTCAGGAAAGTAAATATCTATTGATATGCTAAGTGAAATAGGACAACTAGATTTGATTTCAAAGAAAAGAAATCAAAGGGAAAAATACACTTTTTCCTGGGAAAAAAAGTTAAATAACTTTTTGAAGGTCTTCTTTTCACTGTGTTTTTGATAGTGTTACAAGACCACGAAGGTTGCAAATTGGCTTCAATTCTTTAATGAGCAACTCGGAAAAATCCAGAAGCACAAGATTGCGAGCCGATAGGAGTGACTATTGAATATATTTTTTAAATCGGTTTCTACCTTTCAACTCATCTGTACATATGGATTTGATTCACTTTTCATTTTCTTCTAGAGGAAGCTCTTTCAGATAATCAGAACACTACATTTCACTTTGCAAAATGATGACATTTTAGATCTGGAATATATCTCTGTATATTATGCTGCTCAGTGTTTATGCACACATCCCCTGCTAAATCTTTCATGTGCGCTTGATCTTTTACTGCACCACTGCTAGATTTCCACTCATGCCAAAACAAGTTATTTCCAAAGATACCTATTAAAAAAAAACTATACTTTTTTCTGCACAACTTGACATACCATAAATAATAAAGTGTTTCATTTCCCTATTGTGACCCAGTGACTTTGCCACGACTAGAAAAGCGTTTCTTTATTTGCTCATTTTATAACACTTCGTTGAAATCACATTACTCGCACATGCATGTACACATGTCGCGTACACACAGTGTTGTGAATCGTAATTGAATCTAATCCCTATAACTTCGTCTCCATATGGTTACAATAACATGGAGAGGTAGACCAAAGGGAGTCAATCAGTTAAGCCTTTCCAGGAGAAATTTCCATTAGTCTGGCAAAAGTCACCTTGTATGAGAGTTCCTGTTGTTCAGAATCTCATCCCTGCTTTGGACAACTCTGAGATTCTTCAGAAAGTGAGGATGAGAGAAGTTGCAGGAAGAAAGTTTTTTTCCCTGACTATTACAGGTCACCACTGAGCCATCAGAGTTAAAAGCATCCGATAATACAACTCATAAATCTGTCTGGGGCAGTTTTAAAACCAATGAGGCTGTGTCTTCCATTACTCTACTAGGAAACCATTTCAGAATTTATTTCCTCTGAATTTTGGAAAACTCCCCCCCCCCCCCCCCGCCTCCATCCATAGTTGAAGTGTGTCACTAGGCTCTCTAAAATTAAAAGAATTTTTTTTTCCTTCTAGTTTCCATAAACAATTATTTGGACAAGAGAATCTTCTGTTCAGAAATATATCCTTATTCTGCTTTTGAATTGACTTTGAAGTGCACAGCATCGAGAAAAGTTATAAACAGAAAACTCACTGCCTAAGTGGTGTGTGTATGTGTCAGAAAAAGAAAGAAAAAACTATTAGAGGAAATAGTTAGTCCTCAACTTACAACCACAATAGAAAATTTGTCGTTAAGTGGCACAGCTGATTTTAGACTTGTTTGCTGTGATCAGTTAGTGAATCACCCTGATCCTTAAGCAAAACATCAGATGATTATGATTTGCAACCTTCCTTGACAGCTTCCCCATTGACTTTGCTTGTTGGAAGCCACCTGGGAAGTTTGTATACATACAAGCCAAGGGCCCAAATCACAGACCTGTGAGTGCACGATTGATGTAACCTTGAGGGTAGGTCATAAGTCATTTTTCTTCCAAGCCATTGTAACGTCAAACCGTCATTAAACAAATGATCATAAGTTGAAGATTTCCTGTAAGGTATATACATGGGGTGATACAGGAACACAGAGAGGCTTTGGAAATAGAAGAAAATATGTGATATTTCACATAATTTTATCATATAAAATATGCGAGGGCTAGTTGATGTAGTGGTTACGGTGCTGGCCTGGAAACCAGGACATTGTGAATTCTAGTCCTATCTTAGACATGAAAGCTGGCTGGATGATCTTGGCCCATTCTCTTCTCTCAGCCCAATTCACCTTATAGGCTTCTTGTTGTGGGGAAAATAGAAGGATGAGGGAGTAGTAGGTATGTTTGCTGCCTTGAGTTATTTATAGAAATATTAAAGGTGATAGATAAATATATAAATGTGATGAAAATTGAGATCAGAGAATCCATAATGTCATAGTTGGGTTTTTTTTTTCTTGTTTTGCTTAGGAACTTGGAGATTACCTTGTCCCAAATAAATGCAATAATTTGAAAGCAAAGCAATTGCTGGGAGGACCAAATAATTTATGTTAAAGAACCTTTTCATTTCTTACAACGTCAGCACAAAAGAACCCTAATGTCCAACTTTTTAAATCATTCCTTGAAAGTCTTTAAAGCAAGCATAAATCAACTGATTTATTTGGCCCAGGCATTCCAATAGAAGGTCTTTCTTGCTATTTAGAGGTTATTATTTCTTCATTTTGAGATAGCATTACATCAGGGATCCATAGAGTTCCCCATGAGAACCTGGGGAAGGAGACATTGCTCTTCCTGACTGTCCAGGAGAGTGCATAAGGGCATCCAGCCTTATTTCTGTCTTATCTGGAGTAGAGCTGTTAGCTTGAGATGACAAAGGAGAAGGCATCTTCTCCATTTTGGCAGGGCATCATATTAAAATAATGATAGAAGAGAATATTTCTAGCTCAGGGTGGAATTGGGGAGTCCTTGGGACTCGCTGAGCTTGGTGGTTTTCTTGCAGATGTTTCATTACCAAACTAGGAAACATTATCAAGGACCTCACATTAAAATAATGCTATGCTTAACTTTTAAGACAGACTGTAAAGCTATTCTTCATTCGTGTAACAATACGAGCAATTTCATCCACAGGATTGGAGCAAAGTCAAGAGAGGTAATTGCTTCAACAACCATTAAAAACAGAATCCCATATCATAATCCTGGCTAACCCATGGATTGCCACTGACTATAAAAGCATTGTTTATTACTCTGCCTTCATTGCTGCAAACTGAAAGATAAGCTAGGCCCTTGAAGTACAGGTAGTCCTCAACTTAACAACAGTTCATTTAGTGACCATTCAAACTTTCAATGGCACTGAAAAAAGTGACTTACTGCATGACCAGTTTTCACACTTACGACCATTGTAGCTTCATGTGATCAAAATTCATACACTTGGCAATTGACTCATATTTCTGATGGTTGCAGTATGATGGGGACTTTTGTGACCTTCTGACAAGCAAAGTTAATGGGGAAGCCAGATTGATTTAACAACCGTGCTACTAAGAACCTGCTGGTATATATCTACTAGAATTAAACAAGTACAAATGTAAACTTTTTTTAGAAATTTATGCTGCAGTAATAAGAAGTTACAGTTCCTTTGGAAA